TCCTTTTGCGTGCCTTAAGTATGGTATGGAGGGGAAGCCTGAACACTGGTGTCACCCCACAGTTGCTGAAAGCGACGAATAAACCCACTCCATAATGGTGGCAGCAAAGCAATAGCAAAGAATGATAGGCCCGATAGCTCTAACGTCTCGCATCATTATCGCCAACCAAAATGTGCACAGTCCAGGGCAGCATGGGTTAGACATGTCGCCCCTGTCTTTCACAACTACTGGATCACTATGACGTAGTCTTGGATACATGAAAGACACCATTCTCTGCATGCGTGCTTAACGCATGCAGATAATGGTTGGTGGGGTGGATGCAGAGGGGGGGGGCCTGGGGAAATGGTTGTGTGGTGGGTGGGCATGCAGGGAATGGTTGGTGTGGCATGCAGGGAAGGTTGGTGTGGTGGTGTAGCATGCAGGGAATGGTTGGTGGCGTGGGGGGAGGAAAACAGGTAGCGTGTAAGGTAGCTTTCCCCAAGGCCTCTGAGCTGCTATTGGTGTCACACAGGTGGCTACCAGCCTCAGAGAAAGGACCTGCCATTCACATTCCTTTCTCGTAGTACTACCAACCTTATTACCAATGTCACTTCTTCATGGTTTAACTGTTCTTGCTCAAATGCTAAAAGCCAGTTCTAGGACTTTAGTAATATTAGTAGTAACACCTTCATGGGGCCACCAGCAGCAACAGCCTGGTTGACCAGGCAAACGCCAGACGAGCCTGGCCCATGGCCAGGCTCCGGGCCGTAGAAAAAACCTCGAAGCTCGCCAGGGGGAGAAGATAATATACTTACTCGTTACACAATTACTGTTGGAAAACAGTGGTACTATTACCAATAGTAATAATATTATCAATTTTAGCACTATTATTAATAGTATCAGTAATAGTATTTTCAAAAGTATCTACTTACATGGAGGGATTACGGCGGTCAGCGCTCCTGCGGGCCCGGTCATGAACCGGGCTTCACGGTGGATCAGGGCCTGATCAACCAGGCTGTTACTGCTGAAAAAAGTACATGTAACCAGAGCATCATCCCGCACAGCCTTCAGCCCTGTGCTGATCCAGCTACGAACTTTAATACAGATGTTACAATTTTGTTTGAGGAGTATGCTGCTGGGGACAGAGTTGGTCCCGTTCTAGGAATGAAAGCAAAACTGTGCAAATTCTGTGTTTAGGATATCAGTCAGAAAAATGATGGAATATCTAATGGATATCAGTAAGCATGGAATATCTAATAGGGGCGTTTCAACTTTGAACCCCCCTCCCCCCCCAAAAAAAAAAAAGCCGTGATCTCCTGACCCAAGGAGTGTGTCGTTCTTCCCTTATAAATTTTTTTCCTTTTGAAATGTCATACAGCAGTCCACAACACGAAGCCCTTCTACCATTTAAAGGGGGACCGGAGGTACAAACCCCAAAAATTTGGAAAGTAACCTAGCATTTTTCAACCATTCCACAGCAAGAGATTCTTTAATGGGGAGGAAAAAAAGATGGAAAGAATGACAAAAATATTTCCCACCTGAAGATTGTTGGACTGGGTAAGCCGTGGCTCCCACACAGAGCCCCGGATCAGATGACAAAAATCCCCAACCAATTTCAGTTGTATTTGGAAATAAAGATAAAGCCTTTTACCAACACAAAAAATGCTTCGTCGGAGCTTTAGGAGTCA